CCTCCCCAACTCCGGGTTTGGACACTTTAACTCCCCTTTATTTTCCGGGTGGTAAAACGGGGGGTAAGGTTTACCGACCCCCCAAAAACCGTTCCATAAAATGCCCTCCAACTCTCGAGGTAAAACGGGGGGCCTGGGTTTCGGGAAAACTATATCCTGGGGTTTACCCGTAATCCCGGAAAAAAAAAAGGGTAAAAGGGCCCCCTCCGCGGCGGCGGGGCAGGGGGGGTAGACCCGGCGGGGAAGGAGACGACAGGCCTTCGAAAAACCCCTATCCACAACAAACCAGGATGGTAGTTTTCCCCTGGGGGGGGGGGAAGGTGGGAACAAAACCCAAACCGGGGGAGGGGGACCGGGGGTTCGTTGGGGGAATAGGCAGGGGTTGAAACTTCCCCCGGGGCCCAAATTTGGGCCCCTTAAAACCTGGGCCCCAAACCCAAACAGGGGGAAAACAAAAATCCTCACATCCCTAGTTTAACTTTGGCCACCAGTACTTCGTGCAAAGGGGCAGTGAAATTTGCCCGGCCCTCCCCGGGAAATTGCCCAAGAGGGGGAGACGTGTGACCCCAAAACAAATGAGGGGATCGCTTTATCCCCGAGGGGGAACGTCTTTCCGCCCCAACAGGACACTGGGGGAGGATCGGGGGGTTTCGAACGCCCCCGCTGATTTTTCCCCATAAACCCCCACCCCCCCGGGGGAAAACCAGAAAAGGACTCCGGTAGTATGGGCTTTGGGATCAACGCCCTTTCCCCCGGGTCATCCCCCCCGGGGACAGAGCATCTCCCTTTCCCCGTTCTGGGACCCAGGGATGATGTGATTTTAAAAAACCCCAAAACCGGGCCAGGAAATAGTCCCCGACCCCTGGCGAGGTTTCATTTCCCCTAGCGGCCCGGATTTTTTTATTTCCCAGGTTACGTGGTCATTTTTGAATGGGGAAAAAGGGTTTGGCCCCCCTCGACCCAAATTTCCCGCCACCCTTGGGGCCCTTCGGCCCACGGTAACGGGTTTCCCTGCCCCCTACGTCAAATTTTTCCGCTCCGCCGGATTTGAGCTTCTTAGAGTTAGAAGGGAAAGGGAGGGGTTTTAGGTGGGGGTACCAAAAACGCGGGGAAAAAAAAGGGCCCCTTTTCCCGGTTTGCCCGCGCCCAAACCTTACTTGGAAGGGTTTTTTAAAAAAGGGGATCCGGATGGGGCCAACCCCCGGGCGCCGAGGAAACAGGCCCTTTCAGTCCCCCAAAGCCCTGTGCCTCAGCTGACCCCCGGCAAGCGCCCCGGGCCCCCCCCCCTTAAAAACAGAGACTTTTTATGGGAGCGGGCCCTGCCCCAAAACCCCGGGAATTTTTAAACCTCGGTAGAATTGAAAAAACCCAAAAAACCGGGGACACCCTTTCAAAATTTGGTTTGGGGTTTCCCAATTTTCGCACAGTGACCCCCTTTTTCTCCAAAAACTTACCCCTGACGAAGAAAAAACTAAAAAACCCAGAAAGGAAAAACCCCGACTTTCTAAAAAAAAAAAAAGACATTTCTGGTTTGACAATAGGCATCTCCAACACCTTTCCCCCAATAATCGGAGCCCCCGGGTTTTACAGGGCTCAGCAGGGTTTTGGGGACTTTTAAACCAGAATGCGTCGAGTACAAAAACCCAACCCCCTGCCCCGGCATTTTCCCGGGGAAAATCCATAACGAAGGTTTGGGAAAAGGACGAGGGGGCTTTTCCTTAACCCCAATTTGGAATGACTAGATACTCGTAGTGCCCGGAAGTCGTGCTAAACGCTGTCTTCCATTCATCGCCCTTACGGATGCGCACCAAGTTATATGCGCTCCTAAGATCCAATTTTGTAAAGAACCGCGCGCCGTGCAGTGACTCCGTCATAGTCGCAATCAGAGGAAGTGGATAGCTGTACTTCACTGTGATCTGATTGAGACCGCGGTAATCAATACACGGCCGCAAGACCCTCCATCCTTCTTCTTCACAAAAAAGAAACTTGAGGAAACGGGTGAAACGGAGGGCCGTTATGTACCCCTGTCTAAGAGACTCAGAGATGTACGTCTCCATCGATTTTTTCTCCTCTTGAGACAAGGGATACACATGGCTCCGCGGGAGAGCTGCGCCTGACTGGAGATCTATACGCACAATCCCCCCGTCTATGAGCGGCAGCTGCGCAGCCCCTAGTCTTACTGAAACGCCAGTGCCAAATCCTCATACTCGGGGGGAATCTGCAGTGCTGGCATTAGATTCGGACTCTCCACCGAGGTCGCCCCTATGGAAACACCCAGACACCGCCCCTCACATTGAGCAGACCACCCTTTAAGAGCTTTCTCTCGCCACCCCAATAATAGGGTCATGAGTCATCAACCAGGGAAGACCCAGCACCACAGGATACGCAGGAGAGTCAATCAGATAAAGCTGAATTCTCTCCTCATGACCCTCCTGCGCCATCATCTGAAGTGGTGCTGTGACCCCTCCCTAATCAACCCAGACCCTAACGGACGGCTATCTAGGGCATGGACGGGGAAAGGCTTATCAACAGGAAGGAGGGGAATCCCTAACTCTAAACAGAACTGGCGATCTATAAAATTCCCAGCTGCGCCTGAATCTACCAGCGCCTTATGCTGGGAACGAGGTGCAACCTGTGGGAAACAAACAGGCAAGGTTAGGTGCACGACAGAAAGCTCTGGGTAAGCAGGGCGCCTACTCACCTGGGGGGACCCCCCCAATGCTAGACCTGCCATCTCCTCCCCTGGAGGACCCGCCCCAGCACCTAGCCGCAGTGTGCCCTCCACGACCACAGTTGGTGCAAGGGCCGGGTCCCCTCGGGCTCCTCCTCCTGCGTTCCCTAGCGCCAGCACCTCCGAGCTCCATAGGGCTAGGCTCAGAGGTGCTGGAGATGGAATGGGCAGACCCCCCCCTCCGGGACGCCCACGGGTGGCGAGCAGGGGTATCCAGCCGGATGGCCATGTCGACCAGCTGGTCGAACGTCAACGACGTGTCCTGCACGCCAACTCTCGCTGGACGTCCTCCCGGAGGCTGCGCGGAAAATGGTCGATATGGGCCCAGCTCATTCCACCCTGCGTCAGCCGCTAGGGTCCGGAACTCCAAGGCAAAGTCCTGTGCGCTCCTCATCCCCTGTCGGAGGTAGAACAGACGCTCCCCCCGCCGCCTTCCCCCTCTGGTGGTATGGTCGAATACAAGCACGGAGCGGGGGAGGAGAAACTCCGCATAGTTCGTGGTTGCGGCGTCCATTCTCCTCCACTCGGCGTTGGCCCACTCCAACGCCTTGCCGTGAGACAGGAGATGAGGTTGAGACGCTCTCGTGTCCCGAAGGGCGCCGGGTGGACGGTGGCGAGGTAGATCTCCACCTGCAGCAGGAACCCTTGACACCCGGCTGTGGAGCCGTCGTACGCGCTCGGGGAGCGGAGCCGAATCCCACTGGGTTCCGGAGATGTACCCTGAGGGCTGACCGCTGGAGCTGGGTCGGGTGGTTGAGGTGTGGGCACCCCGCTGGTCTCCCATCGGTGTAGGGTGGTCATCACCCATCCAGGGCGTGACACACCTGGTTCATACGGTCCTCCTGACCACGAAGCCGTTCGTCCAGATCGGCGGTCGGCGCGGTCGCTCCTGCCTGATTCCATGATGATGCGTGATTCTGTCAGAGTGTTGAGTGTAGATGTAGTGCAGGAATCAAGCGCAGGGACAAGGAGGTTCTTCAACGGACTTTAGTATATATATGTATCCCAACACGGGAATGAGTCGCCAACCCAACCGGGCGGCACGAACAATTACGCACAACACACAGTGCGGAAAAAACAAGAAAAGGCGCACGCAGTGCGAACTCTCGAAAATACTAAATAAACGAGAGAGAGAACTACTCGGAGGCAAACTGACAATAACAATCACGCATAACACCTGCCCCAAACAAACCAACTAAATAAGGAGAATAATCAAGACACAAATAAGGGACAGGTGTTATGCACAGACAAAACCAAAAGAACAAAAAACATCGAACGGTGGCAGCTAGTACTCCGGAGACGACGACCGCCGAAGTCCGCCCGAACAAGGAAGAGGAGCAGCCTCGGCCGAAACCGTGACACTGGTTAAATAAAAATGAAGCTTAAATGAAATGATATGAATGGTCTCTGTGTGCGGCAACATGCGCTTTCATTATTATTGCTTTCAATTATATTATTTCTTGTTTTACTTTAGTGGGCAATTAACAAAATGTTTGTGGGCACAGTTCGTTACACACGCACTGATAACGTTTTACAAGTTTGAATAGGCTAATAAGCAGTTATTCTCATGTTCATTCAACAGTAGTCTAACGTGAAAATTGCAAAGAAAATTGCATTTAGGACTACCTTTACTTTTAAATGAAGTCCATTTGTCTGTCCTTATATCACTGACTGCTTCAATTAAATAATTCTGTTTTGTGTTTGATGTATCCGAAAACACAGTGGCAGTCTAGGTAATCTTTTGTCTTTCTCAGCAAAGGTAGGCTATACAATAACTCTAAGAATTTAACCGCCATTAGCTCAGCTGACTCTCTTTTCGAAACAATATTACATTTCTCTGATGTGCTCACCAGAGATGTGGTAAACTGTAAACAATTCTAGCTGTTAGGTCGCTAATCTATTTTTTGTTTTCTGTCAGTGCAACCTGTAATTTAGACTGGTTTATATTTTGTTTCATAGAGCTGCCAAAATGATGGTTTTGATTTATGGACACTATTCCTTTGATGCGTTCGATTTATCAAGATAGAATTCCGTTGTGATGCGACTCGTTCAACAAAGCGTTAGTAAGGTGTTCAGTCGACCCCTTCGGTTCATTTATGGCCTTTATCACCCCTTGTGTGTGTGTGTGTGTGTGTGTGTGTGTGTGTGTGTGTGTGTGTGTGTGTGCATGCGTGTGTGTGTGTGTGCGTGTGTGTGTGTGTGTGCATGTGTGTGTGTGTGTGTATGTATGATATTTATGATGTGTGTGTGTGTGTGTGTGTGTGTTCAGTCGAATGCAGCTTGCAGAAGCAGAGTTGCTCTATATCAAGGAGGTAGAGAAGCTGGATGGTTTTGGACAGGAGAGCTTTGCTGCTAAGGTATGTCTACACACACACACACACACATACACACACACACCACCACATTATTTTCCATACTTTAATACAGAAGTATTTGTTTCACAGGACATCTACACCAATGACATCTTCCTTGGTGTGTCCTTCATCGGAGTCTTCGTCAAACACAGGAACGGCAGGTCCATCATGCACCACAGGTGGGTCTTCCTCTCACCTCTGACCCCTCGACACCTTTTGCTATTGGTTAGGTTTGCCTTGCTAAAGGAAATAAGTAACATTAACCTCTACTAAACTGTATGTATATGTGTCCCTGTGTGGGTGTGTTTGTTTGTTTGTGGGTGTGCGTGCGTGCGTGCATGCCTGTGGATCTGTGCACATGCATGGGTGTGTGTGTGTGTGTGGGGTCTGTCTGTGTGTGTGTGTGTGTGTGTGTGTGTGCGTGTGTGTGAGACAGATGGAAAGACATTGGTAACATAGCGCACAACAAGTCGGCCATCACAGTAGAGATAACCAGTAAAGACGACACCATCACGTTTCACACGGTGAGTGTCGTGTCTAACAACGGAACACACAAAGGCCTTCGCACGGGAAACTGATAAATATACACACACACACACTCGGATACGATGTGGGGGGAGGAGGTTTCCCTTTTGGAAAATATTTGCCATTTGTATCACATTATACAATAGAAATCATTTCTAAATGTGCCAGTCATAAACACCCAATGTTGTGTGTAACCCTACAATAAAGAAGCTGAAATGTTGATGTTGTGTGTCATGGTGTGTTGACATCGTGTACATGTGTTGTGTGTCGTGGTGTGTGTGTGTGTCCACAGGATGACATAGAGCTGTCCAAGTACATCGCTCGGCTCTTCACGGCCAGACACAAGTTCTACAAACAGAACAAGATCTGTGCAGAGTGAGTCTTAACATGAACTTCAAAGTTATACTGTCAGGTTTCCACAATGGCGAACGTGCATAAAGACGGTAGAATTCAGATATGACGTCATTGCTTTAGCATTATCCACTGAGTTTTTAAACTATGGTTCGCGCATGGTTCAATGTGTCAATAAATCAGCATAATCTACTTTTTTGTTTTTTCAAATTGCCGGCATCTTGAAGCAAAAATTGGGATCATGTATACTCTGCTAATGACCATGCAAGAAAAGAGTAATGGAGAGCATTGTACAATATGGCGAACTTAGCTAAACTAGGAATTTGTGGTAAGTGCATGGGGGCCACCATCTTTATTAGTGATGGGTCGTTTGCGAACGAACAGCACTTTTTGAACAGATCTTTCTTGGTGAACGTCGGGAAGTGATTCGCATCGGTGAAAGAGACGTTCGTTTGGCTCCTTGATTTGCATAATGCTACTACTGCTTTTTGATCTTATCTGCAGATAAGTTACAAAATAATTCTCTAAGAGGGTGAATCCTCACTGCAGAAAAAATTATTACTGCGCGTCAATTTGGTCCACGCTGATTTTTTCATTTTTTTTTTGCAGGCCATCTAATAATTTAGCCAGGTCAACATTTATTTGAATGCGCATTTCACGATCTGACATAATGATAGCCTACCTTTTGGGCTGTACATTGGAGATTAGCAATTTTTTCATGACTCTAGGTCGATTTTTAAGCATTATGAACGAAGAGCCGTTTGGGAGCCAAATGCTCTTTTATGTGAATGGAGCCAAATGAGCCAGCTCACCGAAAAGACTCGGAATGCCCATCACAAATCTTTATGCACCTCTGCTATTGCTCCTGGAACAATGCTCCATCTCTGTACCATACTGCCTCTAGTGGTCAACAGATATCCCTTCATGTGTAACAAGTAACATCTCCCTCGCCCCCTTTCTCCATCTCTCTCCCTTTCTCTCTTTCTCTCCCTCAATTTGTCTCTCTCTCTCTTTCTCTCTCTCTCTGTCTCTCTCTCCTTAGACCCGCCCACTCCCCTGCACCTATCAGGAGGCGCCCCACCTGGAACCCCCGCCTCTCTCTGGTACTGTCAATCACTCAGTCATGTCTGATTTGTTTGGCTCCTCTTGCATGTTAGATATTAATTAGAAATACAATAGATTTTCAATAGAAGTTCCTTGCTATCTTTGCTTGCCACCGGTCGAGCTCTGAAGAGTAGATTGTGTATTACAGGGTTAGAGTTTTAGTTCAGACTGTAGGATGATTTAAAACCCCTCTATCAGGGCGGCCCTAACCCAGGTGGTGGTGGTGGTGGTGGGTGGTTAGGGCGTTGTTTGAGTGTTGTGTGGCTGTTGTGTGGGCGTTGTTGGGGCGTTGTGTGGGCATTGTTGGGGCGTTGTGTTTCCGATGTGACTGACAATAGAGTCAGTGATTTCCCTCTCTCCCTCCCTGCTGGTGGGACAATGAGAGGCTATATGTGGCACAATGGTGGTACAGTCCAAATCAGACTCTCTGGAGGACCCCAGTCCACTGTGGGAGACCCCTTAGATCACAGGCTTTAATTAACCTCTCTCTCTCTCCATGTCTCCTCTCTCTCTCTCTCTCTCTTCCTCTCCTCTCTCTCTCTCTCTCTCTCTCTCTCTCTCTCTCTCTCTCTCCTCTCTCTCTCTCTCTCTCTCTCTCTCTCTCTCTCCCTCTCTCTCTCTCTGTCTCTCTCTAGCCACGGCCCCAGTCCTGTATCCTCCAACCATTGCACTCCCAGTATGCAGAGCATTACCAGGACACACAGAGCTCTCAAGGTACTGGACAAATACACATTTACATGACTTTTACATTTTGGTCATGTAGGTTACAGTTCAACACGGGACTCATGTATGACGCTTATCTCCTTTATACTGTATAACATTCACTTATATCATCATCAGTCACAATCACTGCTCCATCTGGCTTATAACCTGAAGTATTCTTGATATGATTTAACTCATTCAAGTGTTTACTCCTTCCACGCTTTGTTTTAATGAATAAAGCCACTCACAGCTAAATAGATGTATCCATCTACACAGGAAGTCCTTGTATGGTCATAAAGGTCAACCGTTAAATCAAGCTCACTATGTATTTCCCAGCAGTAGTATGAGTCAATGTCTATTTGGGTTTTAACAATCTCTCAGCCAATCGGATCACTTTGTTTGGAGTGCTGAGAAACTGAGTAATGTGGTGGCGTTCACTCTTTCATTCTCTCATTCACCCACTTACTCTGCCCTCTAATCCAGAGCACTTCAATCATGATCTCTGACACTTTGGAGAAAGGGGGAGAAAACACTGTGTATGTGTTACCCAGTGTGGGTAACTCTGTGTGGGTGTGTGATAATTATTTGAAGGGTGGCATCGATCATTTGAAAGTGTATGAAAACAGTATGTGAATATGTGCGTTTGGATGCTTTCTGTGTGTGTGTGAATCTGTAATGCATTGCTTCTCCTATGTCTTCCCCCTCCCTTTACAGACAGCATATTCCATGACGACCCCTACTACAAGTCTGAGACCAGTCTGGACCGGTGTCCGGTCGAATTCGGCTTCCGCAATGGAACTGTTCCCAACGGCAGCATGTACAGTAGCCCCAGCCTCAGCTCCCTTAACCACTCCCAAACCTTTGTACAACCTTCGCCCATCTCCTCTAACCTCAGTATCCCTGGCAGCGAGCTGATGCGCCCTGACTACATCCCTAGTCATCGCCATAGTGCCATCATCGCCCCTTCCTATAGGCCCACGCCAGAGTACGAAGCTGTGATGCGCCAGAAGTGCCACATGCTCCCCGCCCACCATGACCTTCACAGCCAATCACTGAGGAGTCTCAATATTAGTAATGCCTACGCATATCGTCAGCCAGAGGCGTTGGTTTATAGCCAGCCAGAGATGAGAGAGAGGAGCCCCTATCCAGGACCAAACCCTTACGCCCCACAGGTCAGCTACAGTAAGCCAGTGAACCCTGCTCCTCACCTGGGCCCCGGAGCCAGTCAGGGCCCCTGTCAGTCTGCATGTGGAGGAGGAGGAGGGGGTGGGAGCTCCATCTCTCACACGGTCAGCACGCCTGAACTAGCCAACACCAAACAGGGGGCTACTACAGGGAGCTACGGCGCTACGGCTAACATGCTGAGGAACCACATGTCGCGGCCGCCCCCTCCCTACCCGTCCTTCCGACCCGCCACAAGTACCCCGGACCTGGCCAGCCACCGGCACCGCTGCATGGGCGGCAGCAGCCCTGAGCTGGTCACCCGCATGGTGCAGCTGTCTGTGAAGACCTTCCAGCCGGACAGCTGTGCCGTGGTGCACCAGTCTCTGCAGGAGGTTAGCGAACCGCTAACGGCGGCTAAGCACCGATCAGCCCTGGGGAAGAGACACAGCATGGAAGTGACCAGCAGCATGAGGGGGGGAGGAGGGGGAGGTATGGAGGGCATGGTGGTTCTGAAGGGGATGGCTGCCCCACTAAACAGGAGGAATACTCTCAGAGAGCATGTGATGCCACCCCAACCTCAGACCCAGCCTCAACTACAACCACCCCAACCCCAATCTCCACACCAGCCCAAAGAGCTTCCCGTGCAGAGAGCCCCTGAGGCCCCCATCCCGTCCTCCACGGCGCAGGGGGTGGGCGCAGCCTACCAGCACCAGAAGACACTCTCCAACGCTACCATGCTGATCCACAGCAGTGAGAGCGAGGAAGAGGAGGAGGAGGAAGAGGAGAGGCCTGAGCTGGACGTTCAGATCCCAGGTCTGAATGAGGACATTAATGCCCAGCTCCAGGCCGCCCTTGCCAAGCTCCCCAACAAGCCCCCTCCGGAGTACCCCGGCCCCCATAGACCAGCCACCAGCGCCCCCCTCCGCTCCCGCGATCACAGCCACCCTCACCACCACAACCAGGGACACCAGACCCAGGGAACCAAGGACCCATGCCAAGCCCAGGCCCGGGTGCTGAAAGCTGGGCAGAGTCAAGGCGGTGTAGGGGGTGGTGGTGGTGGTACCCTGACCCGTGGGGATCAGGCTGGGATGAATGGGGCAGTTCTGGGGCCGTCAATCTCTGAACCAGACCTGACCAGTGTGAAGGAGAGGGTCCGGAAGGAGCCAGTCAAAGAGAGGCCAGTGTCTGAGATGTTCTCTCTTGAGGATAGCATAGTGGAGAGAGAGATTGCACAGAGGGTAAGATACACATTACTCCAATCTATTCTATTAAATCTATTATATTCTAGATTCTATTCTGGTCTGTAGAAAACAAAAATATACTGTATGTCTGTAATGTGGGGAAAATGTATTCTGTATGAATCCATTGTTATAACATGGCTTTAGAAATTGTTACAACAACCGTCACATATCCACTTCATCAATTCACTTCATTAAGTCCTCCTCAATAGTCCAAGGCTTTGAGGAAGTAAACAGTGTAATGCTGTATGTGGCCAATAGAGAGAGGTGCTCAGACCTGTACAGTACAGCAGGTGAGTGAACCGTGCCTAAAAGAAAGATGTGTTTAAGATATGTCTAAAACATCACCCTTGCTGTAAACAAACAAACAGTTTGGACTTTGTCTAAAGTGTACTTTCCCAGTAAGTGATTAACACAGTAATCTGGAGTTCAGCACCTGAGGGTAACATTAGGTTCCAGTCCTTACAGCTTATCACCATTAATCCATTAGATTATGCTTTGGGGTGGGGGGTTGTTGTGTTGCACTGTTGTTCGCTGTTAAGACAATAACATTTGACACAGTACTAATGTCCAGGTCTGTAGTTAAAACATGTAATTGGCCTCATGCTGTGCTGTGCTGTGCGTGCGCGTGCATGCGTGTTTGTTTGCATGTTGAAAGTCCCCATTCTTTCCACTCAACTTTAAAGCCTCCCTGTCCAGCCACCCTTTACTTTCCATATGGCTATATGCCCCTATATGTTTTCTCCATTATACCTATCCCCCTCTCATCCGTAAGCCTATAGCGCCCATACGTCTACCCACCCCCATTCTCCCCCACCTGCTCCCCTATAGATTTTGGCCAGACCCTAAGGGTTCCCCCCTGACCCCCAAGCTGTTGTTTGGGCTGATCCAGGAGGGCTGAAGGGGGGAGAGGTGGAGGGGAGATTAGGAGAAGTAATCCTGGAGGGAGGGACCAGGCAATGTGGGCCATGGGTTTGGTGTCTCAGAGAGAAGAAGGAAAAGAAAGAAAGGAAAAACGAGAGAGAGAGAGAGAGAGAGAGAGAGAGAGAGAGAGAGAGAGAGAGAGAGAGAGAGAGAGAGAGAGGGGGAAAGAGAGAGGGGGAGGATAGTACGAGAGGAGGGAGTGAAGAGAGGAAAGAAAGAGAGACAGAGAGAGAAGAGAAGCAACAGGTCTAGTCTGTAACGAGCTCAGACAATGTGGTCAGATAGATCAGGGGAGTGAGTCTTCTGTAGGACAATGTGGTCAGATAGATCAGGGGAGTGAGTCTTCTGTAGGATCCATAGACAGACAGTCTACAGCTAGCAGAGCATCAGGTCTACTCCTTCGCCAAGGGCACCCAGGACAGATCAGCAAAGTTTAGCAACAAACAGATCTAATCTACACACTCACCAGGGCGGGTACAGTTCAGTCTTTGCATCGCTACAGTAACCGTAACCATGACAGCGGGCTTGTCCTCTTTCCTGAAGACGCTGGAGAGACAGAAGATGTCGGTGGACTCCATGAAGAGACCTCTGATGATGGCGGCCCTCAACGGGCTCTATGTAGCCAGGGTGCCTGTACCAGAGAACCCCCGGGAGGATGGGTCCAAGGCTGCTGATGAACGGGTAAGACAACACCAACAGGGGAGAGGGGGGCGACACAGTGTCAGAAAGTACCTGAGATTCCGGGGGTCTGGTTTTCTACTTACTTACTATATTTTCTACTTACTATACTCACCCCATAGTTCTGTTTTTTGTATTTTATTAGGATCCCCATTAGCTGTTGCGAAAGCAGCAGCTACTGTTCCTTGGGTAAACCTTCACCTGTGCACATTATCAACCACCATGGCTAGTGTTATTAACTAACATATTGTTGTCCTTTAGCATTGTTTGGCTGTGTAGGTTAGGCTACAGTAGAGCAGTATTTCATGGCTAACACAGCTAGCAGTGGTTGTCGGTCTGCTGCACCAGACCAGACAGTTGAGCTGGGAGGTGTGAAACACAGCCTTTGTCCCAGGCGTTGCTAGGCTAGCGGGGACTAGCAGAGCGCTAAGTGGGCTGTGGAACGTGTGGCATGACCGTGCTTATCGCCTCTGGGCCCGCTGCTATGTCAGGAATGTGACCCAGGGGGGAGAGAGAGAGAGAGAGACAGACAGACTCCCCCCAGCCCCTGACTGCATACCCTCTCACTCACAGCCCAGCCACAATAAGCCCCAGCCCAACAACACATTCCACTGACTCCGCCACACATAGAAGACTGTGGGGATGGAGAATAGGAATTCATAGTGTAGGTAGGGTCATATGGGTTGGAATGTTTTAGGATGGATTATCAAAAAGTTGCATTATAGACATTTTGGAATTGAGTGAGAGTCCTATCACTGGCGTGTCACTCTGGAATTCAACTAAACTCTTTACATGTCCTTTCATCCCTCTCATTTATTCCCTCTCTTCTATCTCTCTCCATCCTGCCCTCACCCTCTCTCTCCAGTGTAAGACCCTAGAGTTTAAGTTGGAGGAGGAGAGGGTCTTCACGGAGTACGAGCAGATTCCGAAGAAGAGGGCCGACTGCGTGGTCACCACGGCAACGCTGGCCGACAACGGCGAGCGGAACCGGTTCCGTGACGTGGTTCCGTACGAGGAGAACCGGGTGGAGCTGGTTCCCAACAAGGAGAACAACACAGGCTACATCAATGCTTCACACATCAAGGTGGGGTCAGGACACAGAGTCTACTCAAGTAGACTGATCAGAGTTAACTTAAGTATATCCCTTTGCTCTAACTAACTCAAGTATTGTTTAGTATGCTGCTGTAACCAAGTGTAAGTGTGGAAAAACCTTTTCACCTATCCAGTCCTTTTAGATTAGTGGTCACCTTTGAGGAAGGAAGGAAGGAGGGAGGGAGGGAGGGAGGGAAGGAAGGAATCAAGGAAGGAAGTAAATTGGTCCTTTAAAGACTATTTATACATATTCTCTACATCTACAAATTATAGACTCAATGGAATTCCCTGGGAATGTGGTCCAAACCCCAAACCCTCTTAAATGAGCTTGAGCTGTTCTCTCACTTTGTGCCCATGCTCTTAGCTCCTCAGTGTGTGTGAATGGAATGCTAACTCAGTGCTGAATCATGGCCTAATAACATGTAAACCTCTTATTTCAGTCATCTGAGGTAGTTGAGGACAAAAGCCCCTGTTTGTTCCTGAACACTGTGTTTATGGTCACGAGGTGGCCTGATCACTCAGCTGGTTGCATTGGGTTGGGATTTTATTTTTAGTCATTTAGCAGATGCTCTTATCCAGAGCGACTTACATGAGCAATTAGGGTTAAGTTCCTTGCTCAAGGGCACATCGACAGATTTTTCACCTAGTCGACTCAGGGATTAGAACCAGCGACCTTTCGGTTACTGGCACAACGCTCTTGACCACTAAGCTACCTGTGTTGCATTCATGGCCATTACGTAATGGCACTCCATTTCCAGCCCCTAGTTAATATGGGCTTCCTGAGGTGTTGAGGGTGAAAGTGTATTGAGGAATATACACTACATTTATTTTATTTATTTATTTCACCTTTATTTAACCAGGTAAACCAGTTGAGAACAAGTTAATGACCAAATGTATGTGGACATCTCATTCCAAAATCATGGGCATTAATACAGTCGTATTAAAAAGTTTGGGCACCCCTGACAATATCCATGATTTCCATTTTTAAATAATTGGGTGTTTGGATCAGCAATTTCATTTTGATCTATCAAATAACTGATGGATACAGTAATATTTCAGTAGTGAAATGAGGTTTATTGGATTAACAGAAAATGTGCAATATGCATCAAAAACGAAATTAGACAGGTGCATAAATTTGGGCACCCCAACAGAAAAATCACATAAATATTTAGTAGAGCCTCCTTTTGCTAAAATAACAGCCTCTAGACGCTTCCTATAGCCTCTAATGAGTGTCTGGATTCTGGATGAAGGTATTTTGGACCATTCCTCCTTACAAAACATCTCCAGTTCAGTTAGGTTTGATGGTTGCCGAGCATGGACAGCCCGCTTCAAATCATCCCACAGATTCTCAATGATATTCAGGTCTGGGGACTGGGATGGCCATTCCAGAACATTGTACTTGTTCCTCTGCATAAATGCCCGGGTAGATTTTGAGCAGTGTTTTGGGTCGTTGTCTTGTTGAAATATCCAGCCCCGGCGTAACTTCAACTTTGTGACTGATTCTTCAACATTATTCCCAAGAATCTGCTGATATTGAGTGGAATCCATGCGACCCTCAACTTAAACAAGATTCCCAGAACCGGCACTGGCCACACAGCCCCACAACATGATGGAACCCCCACCAAATTTTACTGTGGGTAGCAAGTGTTTTTCTTGGAACGCTGTGTTCTTTTGCCGCCATGCATAACGCCCCTTGGGCGCCATTTGTCGTATCGCGTCGAATGCTGGAGCTCATTGCTGTCAAACAAAGGAGTCCGCTCATACTGAACCTGGATCATAAGTTTTATTTATATCACAAGCTTTCAGCATGAGTTACAGACTTGCAGGGTCTGGAGAGCAGTGTCCTCGAATTCTAATGGCTGCTCTGACTTCTACTTCGTCCTGCATATACTTATAAACAATGCAAACAGATGGGTTGCTCCCTCTTCTGGCCAATCACCAGTCTCCCCTGGGGCGTCACCCCACAACTGGCTACTTTTGACCTAACATAAACAACATTCCATTTCTTCATGAAAAACATTTAACAAAGGCATAATCCTAATACACTACATTTATGACCAAATAACTCAATCTTTGTTTCATCAGTCCACAGCACCTTATTCCAAAATGAAGCTGGCTTGTCCAAATGTGCGTTTGCATACCTCAAGCGACTCTGTTTGTGGCGTGTGTGCAGAAAAGGCTTCTTCAGCATCACTCTCCCGTACAGCTCCTCCTTGTGCAAAGTGCGCTGAATTGTTGAACGATGCACAGTGACACCATCTGCAGCAAGATGATGTTGTAGGTCTTTGGAAGTGGTCTGTGGGCTGTTTTTGACCGTTCTCACCATCCTTCGCCTTTGCCTCTCCGATATTTTACTTGGCCTGCCACTTCTGGCCTTAACAAGAACTGTGCCTGTGGTCTTCCATTTCCTCACTATGTTCCTCACAGTGGACACTGACAGCTTACATCTCTGCGATAGCTTTTTGTAGCCTTCCCCTAAGCCATAATGTTGAACAATCTTTGTTTTCAGGTCATTTGAGAGTTGTTTTGAGGCCCCCACGTTGCCACTCTTCAGAGGAGAATCAAAGAGAACAACAACTTGCAATTGGCCAACTTAAATACCTTTTATCATGATTGGATGCACTTGTCTATGAAGTTCAAGGCTTAATGAGTTTACCAAACAATGGTGTGTTCCAATTAATCAGTGCTAAGTAGTTACAGGTATTCAAATCAACAGAATGACAAGGGTGCCCAAATTTTTGCATAGCCTATTTTTCACATCTGATTTAATTTCATACAACTTAATATTGCTACACAAAAAATATTTGTCTGGACAATACCCCAGTACTACCCCAGTACTTAGAAAATGAATGGCATGCCACTGTGATCATTTTCTGTGACGACAGAGTAAATGATTATGCAGCCTCAGAGGGGTACCCAAACTTTTTCATACGACTGTATGGAGTTAGTCCCCCCTTTGCTGCTATAACAGCCTCCACTCTTCTGGGATGGCTTTCCAGTAGATGTTGGAACATTGCTGCGGGGACTTCCATTCAGCCACAAGAGCTGTGAGGTCAGGCACTGATGTTGTGCGATTGGGCCTGGTCAGTCGGCGTTCCAATTCATCCCAAAGGTGTTCGATGGGGTTGAGGTCAGGGCTCTGTGCAGGCCAGTCAAGTCCTTCCACACCGATCTCGACAAACCATTTCTGTATGGACCTCGCTTTGTGCACGGGGCATTGTCATGCTGAAACAGGAAATGGCCTTCCCCAAACTGTTGCCACAAAGTTTGAAGCACAGAATCGTCTATAATGTCATTGTATGCTGTAGCGTTAAGATTTCCCTGCACTGGAACTAAGGGGCCAAGCCCGAAGCATGAAAAACAGCCCAAGACCATTATTCCTCCTCCACCAAACTTTACAGTTGGCACTATGCATTGGGGCAGGTAGCGTTCTCCTGGCATCCGCCAAATCCAGATTAGTTCGTCAGACTGCCAGATGGTGAAGCGTGATTCATCACTCCAGAGAACGCGTTTCCACTGCTCCAGAGTCCAATGGCGGCGACCTTTACACCATTCTAGCCGACGCTTGGTTTTGCGCATGGTGATCTTAGAGTTGTATGCGGCTGCTCGGCCATGGAAACCTATTTCATGAAGCTCCCGACGAACAGTTATTGTGCTGACATTGCTTTCAGAGGCAGTTTGGAACTCGGTAGCGAGTGTTGCAACCGAGGACAGACAATTCTTACGCACTTCAGAACTCGCCGGTCCCGTTCTGTGAGCTTGTGTGGCCTACCACTTTGCGGCTGAGCCGTTGTTGCTCCTAGACGTTTCCACTTCACAATAACAGCACTTACAGTTGACCTGGGCAGCTCTAGCAAGGCAGAAATTTTATGAACTGACTTGTTGGAAAGGTGGCATCCTATCCACTAATTGGAAGGGGTGTCAACATACTTTTGTATATACAGTGCATTCGGAAAGTATCCACATTTTGTTACGTTTCAGCCTTATTCTAAAATGGATTAAATTGTTTTTCCCCTCATAAATCTACACACAATACCCCATAATGACAAAGAAAAAACAGGTTTTTAGATTTTTTTTGCAAACGCATAAAATAAAAGAACACGGAAATATCACATTTACATAAGTATTCAGACCCTTTACTCAGTACTTTGTTGAAGCACCTTTGGCAGCGATTACAGCCTCAAGTCTACTTGGGTATGACGCTACAAGCTTGGCACACCTGTATTTGGGGAGTTTCTCCAATTCTTCTCTGCAGATCCTCTCAAGCTCTGTCAGGTTGGATGGGGAGCATCGCTGCACAGCTATTTTCAGGTCTCCAGAGATGTTCAATTGGGTTTAAGTCCAGGCTCTGGCTGGGTCACTCAAGGACATTCAGAGACTTGTCCCGAAGCCACTCCTGCGTTGTCTTGGCTGTGTGCTTAGGGTCGTTGTCCTGTTGGAAGGTGAACCTTCGCCCCAGTCTGAGGTCCTGAGCGCTCTGGAGCAAGTTTTCATCAAGGATCTCGCTGTACTTTGCTCCGTTCATCATTCCCTCGATCCTGACTAGTCTCCCATTCCCTGCCGCTGAAAAACATCTCCACAGCATGATGCTGCCACCACGATGCTTCACCAGGTTGGCAGACGTGACGCTTGGCATTCAGGCCAAAGAGTTCAACCTTGGTTTCATCAGACTAGTGAATCTTGTTTCTCATTGTCTGAGAGTCCTTTAGGTGCCTTCTGGCAAACTCCAAGCGGGCTGTCATGTGCCTTTTACTGAGGAGTGGCTTTCGTCTGGCCACTCTACCACAAAGGCCTGATTGGCGGAGTGCTGCAGAGATGGTTCTCCCATCTCCACAGAGGAACTCTGGAGCTCTGTCAGAGTGACCATCGGGTTCTTGGTCACCTCCCTGACCAAGGCCCTTCTCCCCCGATTGCTCAGTTTGGCCGGGCAGCCAGCTCTAGGAAGAGTCTTGGTGGTTCCAAACTTCTTCCATTTAGGAATGATGGAGGCCACTGTGTTCTTGGGGACATTACATGCTGCAGACATTTTTTGGCACCCTTCTCCAGATCTGTGCCTCCACACAATCCTGTCTCGGATCTCTACAGACAATTCCTTCGACCCCGTGGCTTGGTTTTTGCTCTGACGTGCACTGTCAACTGTGGGACCTTATATAGACAGGTGTGCGCCTTTCGAAATAATGTCCAATCAATTGAATTTACCACAAGTGGACTCCAATGAAGTTGTAGAAACAGCTCAAGAATGATCAATGGAAACAGGATGCACCTGTGCTCAATTTCGAGTCTCATAGCAAAGGATCTGAATACTTATATAAATAAGGTTTTTCTGTTTTTTATTTGTAATACATTTGCACAATTTTCTATAAAACAGTTTTTGCTTTGTTGTTATGGAGTATTGTGTGTGAATTGATGAGGAAAATTTTTTATTTAATCAATTTTAGAATAAGGCTGTAAGTAACAAAATGTGGAAAAAGTCAAGGGGTCTGAATACCACCAAGCCCTATATGAACCATGGCAACATTGCCCTCCTGTGGTAGACCAGTATATTGTACAGCTCTCTTTGTGCTCAATACACTTTCTGAAAAATGAATGTGAAAGGTATAGTCTGAACTGGTTTGGTTTTTTGTTGTCTGTTTATGTGCATGTGTGTGTTTTTCTTTCAGAAGATGCATGTGTGAGGGTATCCCTGTGTGTGTTTAATGGATTCTAACCTGTGTGTGTGTGTGTGTGTGTGTGTGTGTGTGTGTGTGTGTGTGTGTGTGTGTGTGTGTGTGTGTGTGTGTGTGTGTGTCCTATGCAGGTGATGATCAGTGGGGAGGAATGGCACTATATCGCCACCCATGGACCGCTGGCCAACACCTGTGCAGACTTCTGGCAGATGGTCTGGGAGCAGGGAGTCAACGTCATCGCCATGGTTACTGCCGAGGAGGTACACTACACACATACACACATACACACACACACACACACACTGGTTAGAACCCATTAAACACACACAGTATAAAGAGAAACATCAGTGGATTGAAGGCCTTGCCAGGTTTCAGAACAGTGAATTATTGAATGTGTGAATGTGTGTGATATATTATTAATATGCAGTGAGAACACAGTCAAAACAGAACACAGTGGTGTGTGAATAATGAAGGAGCAGAGCTTGGCTGATGTTTTATTCCATACACACTCTGTGACCAGTGTCCTCAGCCCCTCAGAAGTCGTTTTACATTGTTCTCTATGTTTCAAAAGGGAGTGATATGGCACCAATATGTCATAGTAGAATTGTGTGTCAGTGTGTTTGTGCCTGCATGCATGTGTATCTGTGTTCCTGCACCTGTGACCATGTGCGTTTTTCCTTGTCGGTATGCATATGTTTGTATATCCACCCCACATGTACATTAACCTTACATTCAACCTCTGTCTGCCTCCCTCTCCTCTCTCTCAGGAGGGTGGTAGGTCTAAGAGCCACCGCTACTGGCCCAAGCTGGGCTCCAAGCACAACTCAGCCACCCACGGCAAATTCAAGGTGACCACCAAGTTCCGTACGGACTCAGGCTGCTACGCCACCACAGGGTTAAAGGTCAAACACCTGCTGTCGGGCCAGGAGCGCACTGTGTGGCATCTGCAGTACACAGACTGGCCAGACCACGGCTGCCCCGAATACGTCCAGGGATTCCTCTGTAAGTCACACCTAAAGGACTTTAAATTACTTTAAAAGTCTGTAGATTCTCTTCATTGACTTTGTTTAGTTTATTCCACAAAGAGAATGGAGTAAAAGGGAGCCCTGTGTAGTGGCCAAATGCAACACTGCAACTTAGATGTGAAAACGGAATATTGATTAATATGCATTGTCCCTGACAACTAAATGAGAGAGAAGTATGAATTAATAGGACTGTTCTGGCCTGAAATATGATTGATACAGGACTACATAAAAACCCCTCCCTCCCCCTTCTCCCTCCCAGCTTACCTGGAGGAGATCCAGTCAGTGAGGAGACACACTAACAGCATGCTGGACACCTCCAAGAGCCTCAACCCCCCTGTGGTGGTCCACTGTAGCGCTGGGGTGGGCCGCACCGGGGTCGTCATCCTCACCGAACTAATGATCAGCTGCCTGGAGCACAACGAGGTGAGATTAATGCTGTCACTGTTACTCTCCAAAATGTTACACTGTTACAACAGCATGTATTGTATATCATCACCTCCAGATAGTTTGGGATATTTGTGTATGGACGCCTCCCATATGGCCTCAAGTATGGTCCTGATTTATAATGTAATTGTACTGTACTTAACTTGACTGTGATTTTTTTTCTCCGCTCTGATCTAGAGATAAGTCTAGCGAGAGAGAGAGCGAGAGAAGGCCTAGACAGATAGCGAGAGCGAGATCAGCCCTGAGTCTCGCTCGTCGTATCTCTATCTCTCGCTAGCTCTATATCTATCCGCTATCTCTCTCTCTCCTCTCTCTCTCTCTCTCTCTCTCTCGGTCGTCTCAGGATGGTGGAGGTCCCTATGATGGTTGAGTCACCTGAGGCAGCAGAGGATGCTCATGGTCCAGACCATTTCCCAGTACAAGTTTGTTTACCAGGTCCTCATCCAGTTCCTCAAAAACTCCCGTCTCATCTAAACCCTCACCCTCTGACCCCTGACCCTTGACCTGCTCCCACATGACCTGACACAAGGGCAATGGAATACTGGTGCCGCAAATTACCCCCCTCCTCACACTGGATAAGTGTGAGTAGCATGGTGATAGCCTCACTCAGCCCTCTGGTATGGTAGGAGAAGTTTCTGCCTTTCTATCTAGCCCTATCAAAGACAGGGGAAAGTAGGTATGTTTTCAGATTTGAACACAGCCAGCGATGACTAATATCTCCTAACAGTTATTATACAGTGTATATTTCAGACCTCCACATTTAATCTGAAAAGTGTTGTACTATTCAGTCAGTCTGTCTTCTTTATCTTGGCTTTTCCTTTGTATTAGTGATAGCCTCTCCTATGTCTGGTCAGTGGAGAAACCTGAGAGAGATACAGACCAGACTAGCATTCTAGATGTTAGCGTTTAAAGTCACATGCTAAAGGATGAGTGTTGGTCGTTCCTTACCTGGGTTTAAACCAGGTAAACCCAGGAGACAATTATCTCAGCATTTTCACATGTATTCCTTTAAAACAAATCCTAATTGAATAACTTTTTTGAATATGGTTTCCCATTTGATAGTAATGGCATTTCAAATGTAAGGCTAATGCACCCTTTGTTAATCAAAGTGAACCGAAATGTATAAAAAGGTTAATGACATTGCATTGTTTTTCATTGAATATAATGCAGAGCACTGTATTATTAAAATGAAAAACTGTCATTTATTCCACTAAATTAGATGATAAAGTTCCATACATTTCTACATTTAAAAAAAGCAAACATTACATAAATGTTTTTTTCAGGTGTCACTTTAAAAAAACAGGAGATGGCACTGTTGGCTGTTATTTCAAGTTATGTAGAATCATATGTTTTTCTAAGCTGTCATAAACCTTTCTAAATCTATGGGAAGGCAGACAATTGTAAGATACAGTGAAGACTTGTCTCAACATTTCAATATTTAATATTGTTGTATTTGTTTTTTTTTTACTTTTATTTATTTCTCCTAACACCATCCTCATCTTTTTCCTGAATGTGGATCATTGGAGTGCATGTTGACAGTCTGATCGTCTTTGCAACTAAATTAGTTATGTGGACGTTTGAGGAGAATATGTCTAAAATTGTTGTCTTATGCTAGTAGTACAGTTATTGCCCTTCAAGTATTCCACTCTCCACTCACCTACTTCCAGATATTTCAAATTCCTAATTGTCTTGACTGGTAGTACATCCTCAAGGTACATCTATTGTTCTTTTTCATCCTCAGCCATTACAGTATGTTCATATACAGAGGCATGTAAAAGACATACAGTGAGGGAAAAAAGTATTTGATCCCCTGCTGATTTTGTACGTTTGCCCACTGACAAAGACATGATCAGTCTATAATTTAATGGTAGGTTTATTTGAACAGTGAGAGACAGAATAACAACAACAAAATCCAGAAAAAACGCATGTCAAAAATGTTATAAATTGATTTGCATTTTAATGAGGGAAATAAGTATTTGACCCCTCTGCAAAACATGACTTAGTACTTGGTGGCAAAACCCTTGTTGGCAATCACAGTGTTCAGACATTTCTTGTAGTTGGCCACCAGGTTTGCACACATCTCAGGAGGGATTTTGTCCCACTCCTCTTTGCAGATCTTCTCCAAGTCATTAAGGTTTCGAGGCTGACGTTTGGCAACTCGAACCATCAGCTCCCTCCACAGATTTTCTATGGGATTAAGGTCTGGAGACTGGCTAGGCCACTCCAGGACCTTAATGTGCTTTTTCTTGAGCCACTCCTTTGTTGCCTTGGCCGTGTGTTTTGGGTCATTGTCATGCTGGAATACCCATCCACGACCCATTTTCAATGCCCTGGCTGAGGGAAGGAGGTTCTCACCCAAGATTTGACGATACATGGCCCCGTCCATCGTCCCTTTGATGCGGTGAAGTTCTCCTGTCCCCTTAGCAGAAAAACACCCCCAAAGCATAATGTTTCCACCTCCATGTTTGACGGTGGGGATGGTGTTCTTGGGGTCATAGGCAGCATTCCTCCTCCTCCAAACACGGCGAGTTGAGTTGATGCCAAAGAGCTCGATTTTGGTCTCATCTGACCACAACACTTTCACCCAGTTCTCCTCTGAATCATTCAGATGTTCATTGGCAAACTTCAGACGGCCCTGTATATGTGCTTTCTTGAGCAGGGGGACCTTGCGGGCGCTGCAGGATTTCAGTCCTTCACGGCGTAGTGTGTTACCAATTGTTTTCTTGGTGACTATGGTCCCAGCTGCCTTGAGATCATTGACAAGATCCTCCCGGGTAGTTATGGGATGATTCCTCACCATTCTCATGATCATTGCAACTCCACGAGGTGAGATCTTGCATGGAGCCCCAGGCCGAGGGAGATTGACAGTTATTTTGTGTTTCTTCCATTTGCGAATAATCGCACCAACTGTTGTCACCTTCTCACCAAGCTGCTTGGCGATGGTCTTGTAGCCCATTCCAGCCTTGTGTAGGTCTACAATCTTGTCCCTGACATCCTTGGAGAGCTCTTTGGTCTTGGCCATGGTGGAGAGTTTGGAATCTGATTGATTGATTGCTTCTGTGGACAGGTGTCTTTTATACAGGTAACAAGCTGAGATTAGGAGCACTCCCTTTAAGAGTGTGCTCCTAATCTCAGCTCGTTACCTGTATAAAAGACACCTGGGAGCCAACTATCTTTCTGATTGAGAGGGGGTCAAATACTTATTTCCCTCATTATAATGCAAATCAATTTATAACATTTTTGACATGCGTTTTTCTGGATTTTTTTGTTGTTATTCTGTCTCTCACTGTTCAAATAAACCTACCATTAAAATTATAGACTGATAATTTCTTTGTCAGTGGGAATATGTACAAAATCAGCAGGGGATCAAATACTTTTTTCCCTCACTGTATGTGTATCCCAGACATTTCCATTGTAATTGTAATTATCTACTGTGTTCTCTCCCAAGCAGTTTCACATATTGTAGGCATTCCTTTATCTTTCTTGAGAGAAACACCCTTTCTTTTCATGAGTCTAAATGTTGCCCAATGCCCAAAGTTCCTATAGTTGTAGATCCTACATGTGTGTAGCCCAGATGCCAGTATGGCTCTGTTCTAGTTGGCTAAAACAGACTGACACTCAGGCTACTGCATGTTATGGTGGCCCCAGTGTGTCACACTGTGCCACTCTACAGAGGAGTCCATGACAGTTCTGATATGGTGACAGTGACCCAAATCCAGAAGGACAGATAGAGCTGATCTCTAAGATGGAGGACAGAGCTTAGCCCTTAGATGGAGGACAGACACTAACAGTAGTTTTGTGCCTTATTAAAGCGCAGGGATGGGCTACCCGGATGTTTGTTTCCATAGGGAGGGACTGGTAGAGACCAATCAGATTCAGAGCTATAGATCTACAGAGTTTGGCAAACTTCCTTCCATCTTGGCACCAAAGGTTCCATTTAGATTTGGCCTATTTTATAAAATGGTATTGTCTCTTGGTGCCAATATAGTGTCCAATGCATTTTTAAATCTCAAGTTGAGTTTGCCAAACGGTATATCAATGGCTCTGAATTGATGTTAAATCTGTTTTGATATTATAGACCAGCTAGATATGATCTATTTATCGACCAACATGGGTTGTGTCTAGGGTTGCAAAATTCCAGGAACTTCAATAAATTCCCAGGTTTTCCAGAAATCCTGGTTGGAGGACTCCGGATTTCCTGCTTATTCTGGGAATTTCTGGGAAACCAGGGAATTTATTGAAAGTTCCAGGAATTTTGCAACCCTAGTTGTGTCCCAAAACAATTTCAGTGACCAACCAGTCAAAGCCTCAATGGCAGCCATTTGTTTCTGTATAACTGTAAGATCTATCCCTGTAAGGATCTTAGGGCTCGAATCAATCTGTATCGCTGAAGCGCTACAGATTGCGTGATTGAAATTAAATTTCTGATTGAGCTGACATATGCAGCGTTTACCATGAATGCAGTCCCCGCGAACGCAGGAAGATTGCCTTTAAATTTCAATCACACTGTAATGCTGAACTTCAGCACTACAAATTGAATCCAGCCGTTAGTGTTCCTATGTGCCTAAACCCAGCTGCATCCTATAGAATCTGTGTTATGTTGTTTTTCTATATCTGTGAGTTGTGATGCAAAGCCAGCCATGTCTAAATTAACGTTTGTATACCGGGCATGCGAGAAAAGATTTCTACAAATGTTTTATTTTTTTTGACTTGGTACCCTTAAAATACCGTAAGATAATGAACTATGCATGCTTTTTTATATTCCAATGTATATATCTATACTCAGATACGTATATAAGCTTTATGCTCTCTTGACATATGAGTGTTCTATTGTACTTCTCTTCTGTTTGTGAGTATTTTCCCAAATTGCATTAATATTAATGTGTTATTTTCCATTTCATGTTTTTGGCATAATTCCTGAGAAACTTTCAATATATGTTGTGTACATATGTTTTGTATATGCTTTTGCCAGTGCATCAAATATTTTTTTCTTCCTACCCCCAGTTATGTACGAAGCTGTCATACTTGCTTATTATGCAATAAAGCATTATTTTCTCTACATGTCTGTTCTTGCCGAGGACATTTCTGTACAGTAACTATGACATTGTTTATGTGATTTTAAAATCCACCGTTACTAACAGACGCGTGTGTTTTCGCCTCTCACACCATTCGAGATGGTAGTTAACACCAACCAACCACACAGCATAAGAACTGGGCGAGGTGCTAATGTTCTCTAACCGCCTTCCATTGTGACAGGGTCACATTCACAAGCGTTCTTTAGACCCACCGTGACAAATCAGCTGCCAACACCCAGGCAACAGCTCATCTCATTGGCTGAGAATGACTTTGTTGACATGCAGAGCCCGCCCACATGTAAACAACTCAGCATTTATGAAAGACCACAAACAGCTGAGATGTCTATTTTATGGCAATTCTATGGATGATCTTTTCTCATAAAACAAGTATGAGTTTGGGAGAGAATTGTCCCTTTGCCTTAAAAACAACATGAATAAAAACAAGTGCTCCTCAATCCATGAAAACATTGACAGGAATCAAAGATCTGCTCAGTATGAAGGTATTCAATATTTAATAACTGCACTCGTAGTCAAGACCTCCCATGTATAAAATACTTTAACCACAGAATTAAATAGATCATTTCTCCATGACTGTAACTTCACCATTCTCCTCCTACTGTGCTTCAAAACCAAGGAGAAGGGAAAGTGCCATACACGGTAGATCTTTGTGTGTGAGAGAGAGACAGAGAAAGAAAGAGAGGCTTCATTTCTGTTGTTTGATCTCTGTTCTCAGGGTGTGAGGTCAGTTTCTTTATTTCTGCATCTCGATCTCTTTACGAAGCTCTATCAGATACTGATGATCCTTTCCATGAGCCACCTCCATTATCGCCATCGCCTGGACACAAACACACAAAGATAAGAGTTTAACAGTCCACTATGTCTTTCACTCATATTGACAGATTCAATAGAAGCATATCTTTTCATATCTCTCACTACATGTTATAACAAGTAGCCGCTATGGAAATGGTACTGAGAGGCTTCTAGTGTTGTTACCTTCTTCAGGGCGTCGATGCCCGATAACTTTCTCTCCAGGCCCAGGTACAGACGGCCCAACTTCAGATACATGGAGGCCACATTCATGGAGTAAGGAGGGTACAGTACGCTAGAGAGGACAATAAAATGTATATGGTTACTATACAGACATCAGCTGACTTAGAAAGGTAGGAATCATCACTGTACAAACCTGGGGAGATAAACATTACAGCTATAATGTATCAATTTGACAGGTGAGGAAAACAGATTCAGTACTTATTTAAGGTTCTATCGGATCATAACCTGAAGGGTTCTAGGTGTATGTATGGATCAGTCCCTGAAGGGTTCTAGGTGTATGTATGGATCAGTACTTGAAGGGTTCTAGGTGTATGTATGGATCAGTCCCTGAAGGGTTCTAGGTGTATGTATGGATCAGTCCCTGAAGGGTTCTAGGTGTGTGTATGGATCAGTACCTGTAGGGTTTGAGGACCTTCTCTCCATAGCGGATGGCTTCGTCCCAATCCCCCATGTAGAGACACACTCCCATGGCCTGGTACATCATGTGCAGCATGTACACGTTGGAGTCCTCAAACACTTCACCCATCTTGTCCAGGCTCAGCTGGCACATCTCCATCAGCTCACCAGGGGGTGCTCAAGAGTCAAGGTCAAGACTGAATTTACAGAATCAGGAACATAGCCAGTGAGACTGACTGTAAGCCAACTTAGCCAACTTAGCCAACTTCTTCGCTATAAATATTTGAGCTGTGTTGGGCAGAAATTAAAACCTACAATATAAGACACATTTGTATCTCTAAACTCATCCACTTTAGCTCAGGTTGAGAAGCTACATGGAGAGAGAAGGACCAAAAAGGATATTTTTCTGATATTTTTCTGCTATTTGTTTGGCGGAGCGGAACTCTTTGATGATGTTCCTAGCGTAGCGCATCATGCTACTGATCTCCTCCGGTCCGGGAGGCTTGTTTCTCTTACGCACCTTCAGCTTCATCTTGTCCTAAAACAATGAACATTTGGGTGACGTATCCCTTTAAAATCATAATTATTCAAATATGAATATTCAAGGTGGAGGAAGTAACTGATGATCATACATTGGCCTCTTACTTTAGATTTGGTTTTACACTCTTTGCAGTCGCAGGTGAAATAGTATGCGTCTCTCAACCTCTCGTTTCTGTCTGCTGTAGGGTAGAGGAGGTCTATGTAGCTGGTGAACACCTGGGAACACACACACACACAATACAAGTGTTCAGTTAATAAACATTCACCATTGAAATTCACTATTCATACAAGTCATATATTGAGATCAGTGAGATCTATTTCATATCGCCTCAGTTTTTTTGACCACCAGTCCTCAGAACAGGTTTTAAAATAACCCTGCAAAGCTATTTAATCAGCTGCTGTGTCTGCTCCATCTCCTCCTCCCTCCCTCCTTCATCTTCTGCGACGCCACTAAGACCCCCAGCCACACACTCCACTATCTATGTTCCAAAAGCTCCCTTGCCAAGACAAGAGACACAGATTAGACTACGGCAAGCCACCTATGACCTAACTTCCTGTCACCTGTCTACAACCAACCCCGGTCCCACTATGCACTTCTCTGACTCAGCAGTGTACTAGCAATTCAATACATGACACTGGTGCCCACTTCTACCTGCCCCTTCCCTTAACCCCTCAACACTCTCCCCCTTCCTACCTGAAACATTGAGCCTTGACACCAATCCCCCACTGCCTTTCGACAGCTGTCCCCATCCTCACCTCTTCCCCAGGGGTCATGTCCTGCACGGCCCGGACCTCAGCCACATTCCCCTTGTACGTGACTATGACGTTAGGACAGCAGCTGTGGTTTACCAGGGCCACACTGAGAGAGAGAGAGAGAGAGAGAGAGATAGAGAGAGAGAGAGAGAGAGAGAGAGAGAGAGAGAGAGAGAGAGAGAGAGATAGAGAGCGAGAGAGAGAGAAAGAAACGGAGAGAAAAGGAGATAGATGGGGGTGAGCATGGGAACAAAGAGGGAGAGAAATGGGAAAGAAATGGGAGACAGAGAGATACAGAGAGAGAGAGAGAGAGAGAGAGAGAAGGGGGAAAATATGGAAGAAGGGTGCTACTAACATCGCCATAGGAACGACATAAACATTCTCTGAGAGAACAGCTTCATCATAACATTTACATGGACTTTTTGGTGTTAACATACACTATATAGAGTGTATACTGAGGTCACATAGGCCTCTTTTTTTGGTTTTTATTAAAAAAAATTATTTCACAACAACAACAAAAAGGACATGAAAAATTTATATATAATAACACTGATTTCAGATATATTCATGTCACCTTTAAGGTTCATTTGACCAAGCAATGAAGGGGCCCCAAGTATATTCAAAGTGGTCTAGTTTACCCAGATGCGAATAAGAAACTCTTTCATAGTTAGCCAGCTGTGCCATGGCACTGGCCCATTCATCAAAGGGAGTGGGATATTCTTTCTTCCAATGCCTTAAGAGTAAGCTCTTAGCTGTTGTGTCGGCCAGGAAAAGCCATCTCTTTTCAAATGAAACATAGGCCTTAAATGGCATGGGCATGAGCTGAAAATAGCTCTACCACAGGCTGAGTGGGCAAATACAGACACTTTACTACACAATCACCATCCAAGGAGATTTACAACCAAACAGCCTGTGTGTGTGTGACAACATTTACAAATTGCCCACCACCACAGAAGGGATTGTTACCTTTTTATGCTGGTCTAGGATTAGCTTTCCCTTGCCTGTCTGTGTGTCTGTGTGTGTGTATGTGTGTGTGTGTGTGTGTGTGTGTGTGTAGTGGTGGAAAAAGTACCCAATTGTCATACTTGAGTAAAAGTAAAAGATACCTTAATAGAAAATGACTCAAGTAAAAGTGAAAGTCACCCAGTAAAATACTACTTGAGTAAAAGTATTAAAGTATTTGGTTTTAAATATACTTAAGTATCAAAAGTACATGTAATTGCTAAAATATACTTAAGTATCAAAAGTAAAAGTAAAAGTATGAATAATTTAAAATTACTTATATTAAGCAAACCAGACAACACAATTGTATTGTTTTTAAAATGTACGGATAGCCAGGGGCATACTCCAACACTCAGACATCATTTACAAATGAAACATATGTGTTTAGTGAGTCCACCAGATCAGAGGCAGTAGGGATGACCAGGGTTGTTCTCTTGATAAGTGTGTGAATTGGACCATTTCCTGTCCTGCTATGCATTCATAATGTAACAAGTACTTTTAGGTGTCAGGGAAAATGTATGGAGTAAATGTAGTGGAGTTGGGGGGGGGGGGGGGGGGGGTTGTATTCTTACTCTGGGTAGACTGCTGAGCCCATTTTCGACAACTCCTCATCCTCCACTGTGAAGCCATTACAATTGACCTGGAAGACAGAACAGGGAGGGAGTCCCAGAATGGGTACAGGCCTACTATAAGAAAGAGGGACACTGAGGTGATATGAAAGACAATAGTTTTCTTTGTAATTAACTCTGCAGAGAAAATGTGTGTGTGTGTGTCTCTATGTGTGCGTGTGTTTTACCTGTGAGAAGAGTGTGAGGAGGGCTGTTTTGCTGGGGAAGTCCAGGTTTTTGGAGTAGAACTGGTGCAGGCTGGCTATGTCTCCCTCATGAATCTCCCGCTTCTCATTGTCTACATCGTCTGTGTCTGAGAGACACAATGAAGGGGGGATGAATAGCAGGAGAGGGAGACAGAGAGAAACTCATTCAAAGATCATGTAAAATATTACAAATGATGGTGTCTCCACAAACATTATTGTGGAATAGATATGAAATGAATAAAGTTGATCTAAACTCTTACTGCTGTTGACTCATTGAGAGGGTCTTTCATTCCATGCTAATCCTTGGACAGCTGCAAAGAGCTTCCAATCAAGCATCCTTCCTCCCACCACTCTCTCTCAACCTCACACACCCCTCTCAATGCCCCTACAGTACGTAGCAAATGTGACTTTATCATATCATTAATTGTATTTTCAATGTATGTAAAGCTGCTGTGCTATCAGGATGAATGGGTTTATTCTATAAGGGGGACATTCGCTGGGTGGCTCTGGTAAAGGCCTGGTAGTGGAGGGTGTCGGGTGACACTTATCACTAATGTATAAATAGTGCCAGCTTGACAACACTATTCTGTCTGTCTCTCTGAAGACTAGGTTTGAAGATAAGCTGCTGTTGAAAAGCAATCAGTATTAGGGCCAAAGAATGGATGAATATGATAATTACACTATATTACAATTATACTGTATATCCAGTATATTGTAGCAACCTTAACCCAACACCTAGAAACCTCGTCATGAGTTTTGGATCTCTTGGTGTAACAGCTAAGGGGTTGGGTTGACAGTCACTGGACCCGGATTCGGGTCCCGATCGGGGCTAAACCCCGAATTTGCTACATTGGTGTAAGAAGTGGGATAGCGCGCATGAGGCCATTGGATAGGCGGGTACACGTGAGGGACTTGGTATAGAAAAGAGTAGGGACACACTCGGTTGACAGTCACTGGACCCGGGTTTGAGTCCCGGTCGGGGCTAACCCCGCCCGAATTCATTACAATATCATTTTATCTTCCTTTACTTTGTGTCACTTCCAGTACCATGATGAAAGAGATGCCTCTCACACATAATTACAATAAGCAGACAGAACACAAAGGAACACTCAGCGTAATGACTCATTCTCTCTGTGTGTGTTTTGTTAGTACGTGATTCCAGCTCTCCAATCAGCAGGAGCTTCTCTGACGTACTCCTCTCTTTCTGGGCTTTCTGCAAAAACAGAGCGAGACAGTTGAGTTAACACCCTCTGTCTGCCAAAATAAGCATCCCAGAACAACTAGCAGCACTAACAACACTTACAGATCCCATACAGACCTTAACCTTTTACTGCAGTGGGCTAAATCAGGATAACACAGAGTGTTTATTGGTGGTCTTAAACAAATCTACTTTGAAACAAAAGTATACACCTCACACACATGGTTATGGGCTTAAAAAAAGAAGACACCTGTACCATGTCAGATATAGAGTTGACATTTTTTCAATTTTGAGTTAGCATCCCAATATGACACTTTATATACATCACAGAAGACTGAAATATAACAAAACCATTTGACATAGAAAAACCGGACTTTTACAATTATATTTATTAATTATGAAATTATGAAAAATATTAATAACATTCCACCCATGAGGCCAGTAGGTCATTTGACTGCAGGAAAGGGCTACACATCTTGTTGACATACAGTATAGGCTATATATAAGGCTTATCTTACAGTAGACCAATTACAGGGTAATTACATAGGTTATCATCACACTGGTAGAGTTACTTGTAGTGACTGTGCTATAGAGCTACTTTTCTCTCTCACCTGTTTGGCGATTATCCTAGCCACCAGCCGGACGGACTCAGATGGACACCAGTTCTCCCCGTACGCTATCATGGCCCCGCACTCCAGCTTGTGCATCGCCCAGTCCCCTTTCTGAAGAACACACACAGGAGTTATGTATGAAGTACACTACCGGTCAAAAGTTTTAGAACACCTACTCATTCAAGGTTTTTTCTATATTTTTACTATTTTTACTATTTTCTACATTGTAGAATAATAGTGAAGACATCAAAACTGTGAAATAACACATAATGTAGTAATCAAAAAAGTATTAAACAAATCAAAATATATTTTATATTTGAGATTCTTCAAATAGCCATCCCTTTGTCTTGATGACAGCCTTGCACACTCTTGGTGCTGTGTGATATTTAAGATACTCTTTGAAGAGGTAGGGTTTCAGACCTACACCCCCATTCCTCATACCCCACAGAAAACATCCCGACCACGCTGACCCACATTTCAAAACAACCAGTGTTTAGGGATGACCCTAACCCAAACCCTAACCCTAACTATATGCTTTCCCCTAACCCTGCCGATTTGGTATATCCTCTACCCCCTTCCTTCCCATTCCAAACTAACCCCTCTACCCTAGCCCCATCCATTCCCCCAGCCATTCCTGGAACTATAGGCATTCTGTCTATATGATATTAATGACACATTATCTGCCTTCACATTCAGAACATTCAGAACTGAGAGTATAGTACACACTGAGTCTGGAAGAGAATGCACAGCTAGGTATTCAGACCACTTGACTTTTTCCACATTTTGATACGTTACAGCCTTATTCTAAAATTGATTAAATAAAATATTTTCCTGAGCAATCTACACACAATACCCCACAATAACAAAGCGAAAACAGGTTTTTAGACATTTTTGAAAATGTATTAAAAATAAAAAACATAAATACCTTATTTACATAAGTATTCAGACCCTTTGCTAAATTGAGCTCAGGTGCATCCTGTTTCCATCCTGTTTCCATTGATTATCCTTGAGATGTTTATACAACTTGATTGGAGTCCACCTGTGGTACAGTCAATTGATTGGACATGATTTGGAAAGGCACACACCTGTCTATATAAGGTCCCACTGTTCACAGTGCATGTCAGATTAAAAACCAAGGTATGAGGTCGAAGGAATTGTCTGTACAGAGCTCCGAGACAAGATTGAGTCGAGGCACAGATCTGGGGAAGGGTACCAAAACATTTCTGCAGCATTGAAGATCCCCAAGAACACAGTGGCCTCCATCATTCTTAAATGGAAGAAGTTTGGAACCACCAAGACTCTTCCTAGAGCTGGCCACCTGGCCAAACTGAGCAATCGGGGGAGAAGGGCCTTGGTCAGGGATGTGACCAAGAACCCGTTGGTCACTATGACAGAGCTCTAGAGTTCCTCTATGGAGATGGGAGAACCTTCCAGAAGGACAACCATCTCTGCAGCACTCCACCAATCAGGCCTTTATGGTAGAGTGGCCAGACGGAAGCCACTCCTCAGTAAAAGGCACATGACAGCCCGCTTGAAGTTTGCCAAAAGGCACCTAAAGACTCTCAGACCATGAGAAACAAGATTCTCTGGTCTGATGAAACCAAGATTGAACTCTTTGGCTTGAATGCCAAGCGTCACGTCTGGAGGAAACCCGGCACCATCCCTACAGTGAAGCATGGTGGTGGCAGCATCATGCTGTGGGGATGTTTTTCAGCTGTAGGGACTGGGAGACTAGTCAGGTTCGAGGGAAAGATGAACGGAGAGATCCTTGATGAAAACCTGCACCAGAGCGCTCAGGACCTCAGACTGGGACCTTCAAACAGGACAACGACCCTAAGCACACAGCCAAGACAACGCAGGAGTGGCTTCGGCAGGTAGCTTAGTGGTTAAGAGTGTTGTGCCAGTAACCAAAAGGTTGCTGGTTCTAATCCCCGAGCCGACTAGGTGAAAAATCTGTCGATGTGCCCTTGAGCAAGGCACTTAACACTAATTGCTCCTGTAAGTCGCTCTGGATAAGAGCGTTCTGCTAAATGACTAAAATGTAAGTCTCTGAATGTCCTTGAGTGGCCCAGCCAGACCCCGGAGTTGAACACGATCGAACATCTTTGGAGAGTAACCCTAACGCTCCCCATCCAAACTGACGGATCTGCAGAGAAGAATGGGAGAAACTCCCCAAATACAGGTGTGCCAAGCTTGTAGCATCATACCCAAGAAGACTCGCTGCTGTAATCGCTGACAAATGTGCTTCAACAAAGTACTGAGTAAAGGGTCTGAATACTTATGTAAATGCACTATTACAGTTTTTATTTTTAATAAATTAGCAAACATTTCTAAAAACCTGTTTTTGCTTCGTCATTATGGGGTATTGTGTGTAGATTGATGAGGAAAAAATACAATTTAATCAATTTTAGAATAAGGCTGTAATGGAACAAAATGTGGAAAAGGTCAAGGTGTCTGAATACTTTCCGAAGGCACTGTATGTGCAATGTCATCATCCATCACCATCATGTCTTACCTGACATTTCACATTGCAATACAACGCTTTTTTGCACTTCCCACATTTTGCCAAGCCCTCCTTCCTATGGATGACAAGACAATGGGTTAGTAGGGAATGAGTACTAAAACATCCATAGCTTGTTGTCACATTTTCACCTTACAGTTACAAACATGGCATTACAGCCAGGTAAATACTGTATCACACAGCACAGTGGTGTGCTATCATGGCACAGTTTAGCAGCCACTGCCAAACATAGTAAGGAGTCAATTCCATTTCAATTAACTTCCTGTATTGACTGAGTTGAAATTGATTGGGCCCCAACCCTGAATATGGTGCCTGATGAACATGGCATACACAACTACTGTAGATACACACACATGACATGTATGGCTGATACATGACAGTCTGTAGATGATCTTCACAGTCATATTCAGAGTGCCTGTTCAAAGAGAGAGAACAAAGGTGGAGGAAGGCAAGACAACTGCTGTCTTCATCACTGTGTGTTGTGTGTGTCTGTCTGTGTTGTCAGTTTTACGGAGCAACCCATTCCTCCTGAGGCAGGGGCAGGAGTTGTTAATGGGGTTTCTCCCGTCGTAACCGAGAGGGACTGTAGGCTTTGAAACATTCTGGGGTATTAATAGATGTGCCCTTGGTGTTGGACCAGCTGCCATTTCATACACAGAGAACAAGAACAGTAGAAAACCCCAAACACTCCACTGATACTGCAGGGAGTCTATGGAGCTGGGAGTCAAGACCTACCGTTGCAGGGGTTGTAGGCTATGTAGTTCCTTTAGGGTTATGGCTAAAGACTGAACTACTGGTCTCAAGACCAAAGAACTGTACTAATCCCGCAGGTATTGTCTACAGACAAAAAGGGGGTTGCAACTTCCAAATGGTTATTTTACTCCCCTTTTTGACTAAACAGCAGCAGCATCGAGCAGCATCATCAATCCATCAATTGCAGAATAGTGACATAGACTACATTACAGCAATTAAAGCAGCAAACTCAAGGTTTAAAAAAAGGTACTAAAGTTTGTAATTTAGATTTTAAAATGTCAGACTTGATTTGCAAAAACGAAATATGTATCACCCCTAGAAATAATGTCCATTAATTATAATCTATATATTTCTTGTTAATATCAACTATCTGCTTGCACCTGTTGCGCCTGTTATGCACAGCAGGTGTGCCTTCTTAAGTATGTGTCTTCTTAATTTGTTTGTTCAGCACTGATGAAGGCATAAATCCGAAACGTACGCTCCATTCCTTTTTTAATCTTTATTTAGCACCTTGTACTTGTGCAAGTACTTTTTCAACTCTACAGATATTTTCTCTCCCACGCACCGGCCGCCTTTCATTTTAGCCTGAGCGCAAACCCTCATACCGGCTTTCCCCATTATAATCCACATAATAATTTGCATTTCCTATTGCTGCAGGGAATCGATAAAACACCACTCAGACACGCACAAAAACAATATAACATTCAAAATGGGTGAACCTTTCCTTTCATTTTAGCCAGTTTACTACAGCAGGAAAATAATCCTGCAGCAATTTGAGACTGGGACGGAGGTTTACCTTCCAGCAGGACAATGACCCTAAGCATACTGCTAAAGCAACACTCGAGTGGTTTAAGGGGAAACATTTAAATGTCTTGGAATGGCCTAGTCAAAGCCCAGACCTCAATCCAATTGAGAATCTGTGGTATGACTTAAAGATTGCTGTACACCAGCGGAACCGGAGCAGTTTTGCCTTGAAGAATGGACAAAAATCCCAGTGGCTAGATGTGCCAAGCTTATAGAGACATACCCCAAGAGACTTGCAGCTATAATTGCTGCAAAAGGTGGCTCTACAAAGTATTGACTTTGGGGGGGTGAATAGTTATGCATGCTCAAGTTCTGTTTTTTTGTCTTATTTCTTGTTTGTTTAAAAAATATATATATTTTGCATCTTCAAAGTGGTAGGCATGTTGTGTAAATCAAATGATAACATTTTAATTCCAGGTTGTAAGACAACAAAATAGGAAAAATGCCAAGGGGGGTGAATACTTTCGCAAGCCACTGTATATGTAGAGAAACGTGCCCATTTTCCTCGAAAGAACGGAATGTCACAATTCCAAAGCTATACGATATTACAGACAAAGATTTTTTCTTCAAAGAGTCGGACGCTAAGGATATACTTCAGACACCCGACAAGGCCCAAATCGCTGTCATTCGCAGGAGAAAGAGAAGGAGATATCGGGGACGTAGCTCGGGGTGCCTTGTAAGGATCCGACGGCGAGTGAATAATTTGCCTCTTCCATCAGTCCTATTAGCCAACGTACAATCAATGGATAATAAAATAGACGAGCTATGATCAAGAACATCCTACCAACGGGACATTAAAAACTGTAATATCTTATGTTTCACCGAGTCGTGGCTGAACGACGACATGGATAACATACAGCTGGCGGGTTTTACGCTGCATCGTCAAGATAGAAGAATGGCGTCCGGTAAGACAAGGGGTGGCGGTCTGTGTATATTTGTAAACAACAGCTGGTGCACGAAATGTAATATTAAGGAAGTCTCTAGGTTTTATAGGTCCCCTGTAGCTAAGTTGGTAGAGCATGGCGCTTGCAATGCCAGGGTTGTGGGTTCGTTTCCCACGGTGGGCCAGTATGAAAATGTATGCACTAACTGTAAGTCGCTCTGGATAAGAGCGTCTGCTAAAATAACTTTAAAAAAATTAAAAATTCTGCTTGCCTGAGTTAGTGTATCTCATGATAAGCTGTAGACCACACTATTTACCAAGAGAGTTTTCATCTATATTCTTCATAGCTGTCTATTTACCACCACAAACTGATGCTGGCACTAAGACTATACTCAATGAGCTGTATAAGGCCATAATCTAACAGGAAAACGGTCATCCAGAGGCGGCACTCCTAGTGGCCGGGGACTTTAATGCAGGGAAACTTATATCCGTTTTACCCAATTTATATGTGCAACCTGAGGGAAAAAAAACTCTAGACCACCTTTACTCCACACACAGAGAAGCGTACAAAGCTCTCCCACACCCTCCATTTGGCAAATCTGACCATAACTCTATCCTCCTGATTCCTGCTTACAAGCAAAAACTAAAGCAGGAAGCACCAGTGAATCAGTCAATAAAGAAGTGGTCAGATGACGCAGATGCTAAGCTACAGGACTGTTTTGCTAGCACAGACTGGAATATGTTCTGGGATTCTTCCGATGGCATTGAGGAGTACACCACATCAGTCACTGGCTTCATCAATAAGTGCATCGATGACGTCGTCCTCACCAGTTGGACCATACGGATACATAACTCCCAACCAGAAAAGGCCCATGTGGATTAACAGGCCGAACATCAGCAACTGAGCTAAAGGGTAGAGTTGCCGCTTTCAAGGAGCGGAACTCTAACCCAGACCCTTAAAAGAATCCCGCTCATCTCCCTCCGAGTGAACCTCAATAGGCAAGTCCGTCAGACAGACTAAGATTGAATCGTAGACTGAAGAGATTTGGCTGGGGCCTCACGCTCTCCGTAGCCGATGTGAGTAAAACCTTTAAACAGGTCAACATTCACAAGATTACCAGGACGTGTACTCCGAGCATGCGCTGACCAACTTGCAAGTGTCTTCACTGACATTTTCAACCTGTCCCTGACTGAGTCTGTAATACGAACATGTTTCAAGCAGAACACCATAATCCCTGTGCCCAAGAACACTAAGGTAATCTGCCTAAATGACTACAGACCTGTAGCACTCACGTCTGTAGCCATGAAGTGATTTGAAAGGCTGGTCATGGCTCACATCAACACCATTATCCCAGAAACCCTAGACCCACTCCAATTTGCATACCGCCCCAATAGATCCACAGATGATGCAATCTCTATTGCACTCCACACCGCCCTTCCACACCTGTACAAAAGGAACACCTACGTGAGAATGCTATTCATTGACTACAGCTCAGCGTTCAACACCATAGTGCCCTCAAAGCTCATCACTAACCTAAGGATCCTGGGACTAAACACCTCCCTCTGCAACTGAATCCTGGACTTCCTGACGGGCCGTCCCCAGGTGGTAAGGGTAGGTAACAACACATCTGCCACGCTGATCCTCAACACAGGGGCCCCTCAGGGGTGCGTGCTCAGTCCCCTCCTGTACTCCCTGTTCACCCATGACTGCATGGCCAGGCATGACTCCAACACCATCATTAAGTTTGCCGACAACACAACAGTGGTAGGCCTGATCACCGACAACGATGAGACAGCCTATAGGGAGGAGGTCAGAGACCTGGCCATGTGGTGCCAGGATAACAACCTCTCCCTCAACGTGATCAAGACAAAGGATAAGATTGTGGACTACAGGAAAAAGAAGAGGACTGAGCACGCCCCCATTCTCATCGACGGGGCTGTAGTGGAGCAGGTTGAGAGCTTCAAGTTCCTTAGTGTCCACATCACCAACATACTATCATTGTCCAAACACACCAAGACAGTTGTGAAGAGGGCACAAAAAAAGCCTATTCCCCCTCAGGAGACTGAAAAGATTTGGCATGGGTCCTCAGATCCTCAAAAGGTTCTACAGCTGCACAATCGAGAGCATCCTGACTGGTTGCATCACTGCCTGGTATGGCAACTGCTCAGCCTCCGACCGCAAGGCACTACAGAGGGTAGTGCGTACGGCCCAGTACATCACTGGGGCCAAGCTTCCTGCCATCCAGGACCTCTATACCAGGCAGTGTCAGAGGAAGGCCCTAAAAATTGTCAAAGACTCCACCCACCCTAGTCATAGACGGTTCTCTCTGCTAACGCACGGCAAGCGGTACCGGAGCTAGGTCCAAAAGGCTTCTTAACATCTTCTACCCCCAAGCCATAAGGCTCCTGAACAGGTAATCAAATGGCTACCCGGACTATTTGCATTGTGATTTTACAGCTAATTAGCTACTTTACCTGCTGATATTGTCTTTGTTATTATTGTGTGTAGCTACGTTTGCTAGCTAGCTAGCCAGCCAGCCCATAGAGAGAGCTTTGCATTGTGGGTTTTGTAGTCAACTATTTTTCATGTTGCTACCAACCTTATTATAACCCCAAAATGATACATTGTTCTCATATATTAGTG